ACTTGAGATTTAAAATATAGAAGAATTATTACTTATTATACAACTAATAAAATGGATTATTAGGTTTTGTGAGAAACAGAGATGGTACATCAAAAATGGTACATCATTTCTTCAAGTGGGCCACTATACTTGTGTTGTAATAATTATGAATAATAATGATGTAAAATGGTTTATTTGACTGTAATAATACGATTTGGAGGTTGAATGTTTATGCGACTAAGATATGTGTGGGTGGGGGGGGGGGGGATATGTATGTATTGGTAGTAGTTCCACTCGCCTTTAATGAATCGAACATATAAAGCAACAAATAATTCGCGTTTAGTGTTTTGTATTTGAATTCGATTAGAGTTTTTTCTTGAAGCATATAAGCAACAAAAACTACAAACAATCGAAGTTGAGTTTTTGCTTCAGTTTTGACTTTTTAATACAAATTTGGGTTTTAATAGACCTGAATATGTATGTAGTCGAATAGAATGTTATAAGGTGTATTATAGTATTGTGGATGTCTCACCATCGATATACGAAGTTGGTTAGACAAAAATTGTATCAATAATTTGATTTATTCAGAATGAAAACTAGTAGTACATTTCTAAAGTTTCTTAATTTTATTTGTTTTTAGTAATAATCACTTAAGGAATCGAATGGCATGTTATCCATCCTAACAATTAGGCATCTTGTCTTGATTGTGGAAAACCATTACTAATCAGACGATATTTATAAGAATAATTTGGTTAATAAGTTGACTAATAAATAAACAATTAAGGTACATTAACCACCGTTTTTTCAGTTAACTTGTTCTTTATTCATGTCATCGAATACCAAGAAACGGCTGCAACCAAATGTACCATTATTAAGCTTCAATTTGTTATATATAAATCTATGATAATTTCCTATACAAAATGTTTAAGATATAATTTTACTTTAATTTCTAACAATCTAAAGTAGATATTTGTACTTTGTACTATATTTTTCCCTTGTAGTGGCCCTAACGAGGGTCACATGCAAGATTCTCTCTAACTATCAGCTCATGATATGAAAATTCTCAGTTTCATTATATAATAATCACAAGATTCCAACTTCAGAATCCAAAAGAAAAAAGGATCAAAATTGATACACAGAAACAACAAAAAAAAAAACACATTACCAAGATCAACAACAAACTGGAAAACACCTAGACATCAAATCTTTTAAACAAAAGTCAATCAGATCCCAAAGAATCCGCATTGAACTCAAATCATCAAGAAAATCTGCAGAATAAAGATGAATGGATTGTCTTTTCATCTACATTGCTATAGAAAGCTCAATCGAATCGGTAATGATCATATAAACATCGTATCAACAAAAATCGTCGAAAAGATACAGYGATACCCGAAAATGAATGTAAAAGAGACATAAATGACAGATTCACAAGGATTCAATGAACAGCCTAAAGTCAACTAATTGGGTTGGTACAGTTTCACAACCAATTTCGATTTGTCTTGCCATGAAATGAGAAGACAGAAACAAGACACCTTTAAATCTTTCTTCTCTCTTCCATTATTAAGAAAAGCGTGCAAAAATTCCCTAATCCTTCTCTTTATTCCAAAGAGACTACAAAGGTGATCTATAGGGATTCTATCATAAGAGCATAATCCACGATTTGTGGCTCTAGCCATCGGCGAAGAGAACGACTCACTAGAAAATCGAGTTAAGTCAAATGGAGGAGCTTTTAGAGAGAAGCAGTACAAAAGACTAGTTCTTTACGGTTCCTTATACGCACAAAAATAATCGGAGATAATGATATAACTCTTGAAGAAGTTGAGACTAGATATCATGTACATATCAAAGAGTCGAGGAAAGATAAACAGAGAGACATTTACCTCAAATGATTTCTACAACATATCTCAGTTTTAAGTCACCTTAAAACAATAGCAATTCTTCAGGGCTTGATC